TTTTTTGGGTAAATTTGCTACACAGTCCATTTTTGAATGTGAGTCTTCTCTTTTATACTCTCAAAAGCCCCAAGGCATTTCTATTCTATTCTTTGCTTGTTTGCTTTATTTTAATCTTTTTTCTTTCTAATTTGTGTGCATGGCAAACACCCAGATGATTATGTCTTTGGGATATTTTTTAGGTATTCATCACTTGTTTTCCTCTATGTGTGAATTTTCTTAATTATTTCCAAAAAAAACTTTTTGTTTCCATTTTTATGACTTTTAATTCTTTCTATTCATATGAAAGTTTAATTAAGATGCTAAATTCTTAATTATTTCTGCTTATTCTTATTTTAATTTTTTTTGCCAGTCATAGTTCATTATACTATGATTATTTTATGTTGACCTCTTTTCCTTCCTCTTTTCCTATTGGCTCATAGTATGTGCCAATTTTTTCTTAATTTCCCATTATTTTTTTATTAACATTTTCCGTATTTTTTCTAATTAATATGCTTAATTTTTCTTAATTTTCCTTTATTTTTTATATGTTTCCAATTTTTTTTAATTAAGATGCTCAATTCCTCTTAATTTTCCATTCTATTTTTTTTACTTATTTCCATTCCATTTGCTTTTTTAATTAAGATGGCCATTTTTCATTGAGTTTCCAATTTTTTTATACTTGTTCCCCTTTTTTTTATTTACTTGTTTCCTATTTCTTTTATTTTGATGCTCATTTTTTTTCTTAATTTTCCATTAGTATTCTTTTTTTTTTTTTTCCATCCTTCTTTTTTTTAAAATCATGCTCTTTTGACCCGATGCGTCCGATACGGGCGATAAATACATGCATCGCATCGCTTAAGCGATGCAATGCATCGGTATTGCATCGCAAAGCCGATGCATTGCATTGCTTAAGCGATGCATCGCATCGGTATCGCTTAAGCGTGTATCGCTAAAACGATGCGATACCGATACAGGGCGATTTATCGCATCGTATCGCATCGTTTCATCGTTGCCAGTATGTTTCGAGTTGTAGGAGAATGGATTGCTTACTGTTGATATGTAATTACCAAGTCAGGATGTATCGGATTTGGAGTTGTGTTGTGTTGATGACCGTGTTTCCGATTGGGTTGCTTCTTAAGAGTGTTGTTGTATTTATGTTGTAGTTCAATCCAGCTGAGGCATTCGGCTACAAGTCAGGTTGCCAGGTCGAAATTTTCCTTTGGGCTGTCCGCCCCGGCCCACTGACATCCCCACAGTTTATGTACAGCATTTTGTTTTGCTGAAAGGTTTCCGAAGTCCAGATAGGTCAGCACCAATCTCATTCTTTATTCTGTTTGACAATCCATCTTCTCACGCAAGTATTCAACACTGACACGTTCTCCTTCTCATCCGGACTTTGACTCTTGTAGAGGTGCTCTTATAAGCGCAATTGAATCTTCGTGATCACTGACAATCAATGGTCATACCAAATTACTCCCAAAAGTTGGCGCACGTCGTTGCAATTCACCTTGAATTGTTTTTTGAAATCTTGAGTACCTGTCAATGTCTGAGGGATAAAATTCGTAATAAGCCACCGGATCTTGGCCCAACGTAGTTTGACAGATGATGTGATCTTTAGAGTCTTCCACTGCTGTTTGAACCCACTTGATGACTCTGAAAAGTGCCTGGAGTTGTTTGCGATCCAGCCTACACAGTCTTGGCTTGTCATACCAGTCTACTAATTGCTGTCATTCAAAGGTTTATCTTTAATGGTCAGATTCATCAATCCATTGAAAGCCTCTGAAAAATGATTGATAATCTTTTTCAACTCAAACTCCTTAACCTCCCCACTCAAATGAAAAAGGCCAAGGAATCAAATTCAGAAAGTCCCATCTGGATTCTTCTCAGATTCAGTGATCCACCATAGGCAGTCATTTCCCAAATCAGTCTATTCAAGTTTGCCTGGAAATCAGAGGAAAATGAAAGGGTTACATTTTTGACTGATGACAGTGAGTAAAATTATCAATTCTCTTTTTTCTTATTTATATATCATGTTTGTCCTTTTTACTTACATTGCTGCTGTTGAGTTTCAGGGGATAGCTCAATTGAAGATAAGTGGAAACTTTTGTCCACTGCAATTGTGTGGCATGAGCCACCCATTAAAGCATACAGTAAGTTGTGACATTTGTATTTTAGAGGATTCAACTTTGAACCAGCTTAATTAATATATATTTTTTGGTCTTATGTATTGCAATCTCAAAACCAGAACCAGACAGATGTTAAGGGGATACCAAGGTTTCAATTGCAAACAGCAAGTGCCTGGAAAGTCAAACATATTTCAAGAGCTTAGACAAGTTCTCAGACCAACCTCATTCCAGGCTGCCCAAGGGCAGTAGTTCAAGAGCTGATGTCTAGTCAACTTGGCAACATCAAGCACATATTGAGAGAATAATCTCCCAACTAACAGCTGAGGTGGAAAAAGACTACTTTTTTATTCTTAGGAGGCTTACTTTTCATAGGATGTTTGATCAAAAATCTCAGAATGTGTATAACCAACACCATCATTAGCCAATGCTTATTTTGCTTCAAAAGGACCACATATCATAATATAACATGGGTCCAACCATACTTTAATATGGTCTGATTGTGTTGCCTTTCATTGAATTCATCATTCAACATTTCATTTATATGGGGGGGGGCCTTGGTGCCTCCCCTCATAGTATAGCAAAAGTGAAAAATTGGCTGGCATGAGGTCAACCATGGTCCAAGGGGCTAACCCTAGCCAGTTCTTATATTCTATCAAAGGACTACATATCTTAGTATGATATGGGTCCAACAATACCAATATGGTCTGAGTATTGAGTATAACCAACACCATCATGCTTATTCTGCTTCAATACCTCAAATGAGCCCAAAACATTTAAGAGCTCAAAAGGTCTTATGTTCAATCAAAGGACCACATATCTTAATATAATATGGGTCCAACCATACTTTAATATGGTCTGATTATGTTGCCTTTCGTTGAATTTATCATACAACATTTCATTTATATGGGGGGGCTTGGTGCCCCTCCTTATAGTATAGCAAGAGTGAAAATTTGGGTGGTCTTAAGTCAACTGTGGTCCGAAGGGATAATTAGCAATTCTCACCCTAAAATTATAAAAATTAGCTCATCAAAAAGGGAAAAATTCAAACATTTTTTTAAACTATTTGGCCCCACAACTTTCCCACGGGAACACCTCCAAATAATGTCTCAAAGTTTATTCTAATCATCTTTTGATTCTTTTTTCAAAGACTCAGTTTCCACACTAAAGTTATAAAAATGACCTTTTCCAAAAGAGAAGAATCCAAACAATTTTTGAGCCATTTTGTGTAACAACTTTCCCGCGGGAAGACCTCCAAATGATTTTCCAAAGTTCTGTATGACCATCTGTTGTTGAGAACTCAATTCTCCCACTAACATGATAAAAATTGTCTGGTTATAAAGGTTAAAATGAAAGCTTTTTCTGCATCTTTTGGCTTTACAACTATCCCACAGGAAGATATCTATTTAATTTTTCAAATTCCTTTAAGACCATCTGTTGTTGATGTCTCAATTCTTGCACTAAATTTGGAAATGCTCTGATTGGAAACAGCCTCAATGACCCTCTGTCTTACTCAAGATCCTCCGTCCAACTATAAATACTTTGTATTGCCTGGGTAGCAATTGGGTTTACTTGGGTAACACTCTGTGGTCATTTGGCGGAGTGTAACTTGAAAGAGAAAACAAAATGGAATTTAAAATGAGACACTAGGTGTGATTGGGGGTGGGGTATGTTAATATTCTTCATCTTTGATTTCACTGTCAGTGCATGCTGAGCTTGGACTGGTTGTGGGATCAGCATCATCCATCTCAGTTTCAGTACAATTGTGTTCTTCTTCATTCATTGTTCTATTTCAGGGATATTATCCACTTTGTCTTCATTGCCACTCCAGGAAACCTCTTTCATCTCCCAGTCACTGTTCAATTAGTCTTCTTCAGTAGCAGAGTCTCCCATCAACATGTCTTCTTTTAAAGAAAGGATTTTGAATGTGACAATAGAATGAATAGAGTGTGACATACTTTAAAATTGTTCTTCTTGCATGTGTCCATCAGTGCATGTCGAGGATGAGCTTGGATTGGAATTGGTATCAGACATTTCAGTGTCAGCCCAATTTTGTTCTTCTTCAGTTCTATCTTCATCTATTTCAGAGTAGTTGTCCACTTCGTCTTCATCACCACTCCAGTAAACCACATCCATGTCCTGGTTGCCGTTCATTTCGTATTCTTCTGACGCAAATAACACTGCCAACATATTGTCTTCTTCTTCAGTGGCAGGATTTCCAGCCAACATGTCTTCATTTTCTTCCGCAGAGCCGCCAGCCAACATGTCTTCCTCTTCCATAACAGCATCGCCTGCCTGCTCATTTTCATTCACAGTAACAGAGTCTTCTGATGAACATAAGGCAACAGATTCCTGTCCTGAGTCATTGCTTTCCTTTTCAGTGTCCAGGTGGTTTCCCAAATCATCACTGTTGATTTCACCTTGTTGGGGCCATTGAGATCCTATTAATCAAACATCAGAATATTGTGACCTCTGTTGGATGTGTGGGCTGCTGCTCACTGGCTGGTGGATTGGATCTTTCTTCAGATGTCTGTATTGACACATCAAATCAGCTACAATCCTGTGGTCTTTGAAAGTATAGAGAAAGTACTTGCCATTTTTCTAGAGTTGCTTTGTGATATATCTTCCAAGAAGTGAAGAGCTAGTGAAGGTTGGGGTTGTCAATGATTACACCACCAAAGGGAAATTTGTTGTGATGATTTGGAATTAGGGTGGTATGTGTTAAACAGAAGGGGATGTGTGTCAAAGTGAGAGTTGGTTATGTACAAACTGATTCATTGCTTAATTGGGATTCAGCCTCAGTTAAAGCTTACCAGTTTCAGGGCTAATGTTGACCAAGTGTTGGGTCCCAGAGATGATGTTTTCTTTGATGGGGCTGGATGGGAAGTTAAGCTTGGGTGAAAGAGCTCACCTTTTAAGGTGGGGAACTCAGGACTTGAATCATAACCCTAACCACAAGTATGAGAAGCTGTGCCTCAGACCCACAGACATGTTGGGTTTTGAATACACATATGCACAGCAGTCACCAAGACCCACAGAGTTGTTCCTCTTTGCATGCATGCAAATAGATACAGCTGTGCCTCAGACCCACAGATCCCTTTTTTGTATATTCATTGACACAAAACATTAGTCAGTAGTAATTAAGATGATTCATGAGCCATTAAATTGGGAATTTGTTGATGAGGGATGTTGTTTCACTAACTGAGCAGAGGAATTGGATGACATTCACAAACAGCCACAAGGAATGGAAAACAGATGAAAACAAGTTGGAGGAATCACAAGATTGAGAAGTGAAAATAATCATGCATTAGGAAATGGATCTATGATCTCAAAGTGTTGAGGTAGATTAACTATGAAATAGACTGGTGTTGGCTGTCCTGCTGGCACATTGCTTGGCATGTATTCACATGCATGACCCCGCAGGTCCGGAGGTTTATAGCTGACAACAAACAAGATCACACCAAAGCGGTTGGCCAACAGTTGAAGTGCCATCGAATCTCCCCATACTCCAAGCTGTCCCATTTTGTTGATCCAACGGTCCACGTGCTCGTCTTGAGCATCTCGACCTAGGTAATTCTTGATTAATCCTCTTTGGGATTTTGAATACTTCTGGATTTCGTCTCTGACTTTATCGTGGTCATCTTGATGGCCATTTTGCCACTGAGAGAAAGCCCTGAACAGGCAATTACCATCACTACCTATGAAACCTGTTGTGTATCTGATTGTTAGGTTGGATTCCACAATGTATTCCTGGGCCTTCTTCAACCCTACCGTGGGTATGCAGTACAGGTTGGGCTTTTCCACGTATGTTGCTATATCAGACTTGATGCGATCCCAGGTTTCTTGTGCACTCCGTTGCCTTCCCTGGGAAATGATCTCTATCTCCCTCTCGATCTAGGGATGGCAGAATCAGATCAAATGAGGAAAAAGATTATGAAGAAACACTAGAGACCAAACTCACTTCTTCAGAGCTGCTGGCCCTAGTGAGATCAATCACTTCTTCAGAGCTCTTGTCGGCATTGAGATTGATTGAGGCGTCCTGTGTTGGCTCCTGAAAAAGTTACCAAATTAGCCATGGGAAGTGACCAAGGGCTGTCAAAACATCCTCTTTACCTGGTTGGAGCAGCTGTCAGCAGCTACATTGTTTTGGGGATGAGTTGTGGCATCCTAGTAGTGTTGTATGATTGGTAGAGATAGAGAGTGAGTAAGTCAGCCACAAAAACCCTAAACCCAGAAATGGAACTCACTTCTTCAGAGCTGCTGGCCCTAGTGAGATCAATCACTTCTTCAGAGCTCTTGTCCCCAGTGAGGTTGATTGAGGCGTCCTGTGTTGGCTCCTGAAAAAGTTACCAAATTAGCCATGGGAAGTGACCAAGGGCTGTCAAAACATCCTCTTTACCTGGTTGGAGCAGCTGTCAGCAGCTACATTGTTTTGGTGATGAGTTGTGGCATCCTAGTAGTGTTGTGTGATTGGTAGAGATGGAGAGTGAGTAAGTCAGCCACAAGAACCCTCATCCCAGAGTTGGATGCAGCTTGTAATCCGGTATTCTGATTCAAATTATAACAAAGGGTTGACTCACCTTTCTGATTGGGTGATCTGGCACATCAGTCAGGTCAATGGCCATATGTCTTGGAACGGCAACATCTACGTGAGTGAGATCCACCACTATAGGAAGTGGGTGAACTTGGGACTGCTTGGGAGTTTGTTCCTTCAACAGTTTTGGGTTGGTGATATTCTTCACCATAGCTGCAGTAGGCTGGCTGGCAAGCAAGCTTGCAGTGGGACTTGTCTGTGGATACAAATTTTGTCAATTGGAATTAACAGAAAAAGTGTGGAGTCTCTGAGATTACCTGAGAGGATTGATCCTTGGGCATGACTGGTCTTAATGTGGGTTTCCCTGTTGCAGCCAAGTTGACCTTTTGTCCACACATGGCGCAAAATTGTTCAGCAAAATTGTAAGGTATACTCCAAGGTGTGATTTGCTTACAGGGATACTGGATGCCATGAAGGGGATATATGGTGGTAGATCTGGTTTCTGTGGGTGTGAGATTTCAAGCTGAGAGGATAAAAGCTCACTTGGGGATAATGCAAAACTAGGAAGTAGGTGCTGAGAGGGGAGGTTACTCAGTCCAACAGGTTCTATTTATATTATCCCTCTGACCTGTCTACTTGTGGTTCCCCTTCAGCCCACAACCATTGGTTTCATGTTCCTTCCCTCAGACAAGAAAGACCCTTGGTTATTTCCTCATTGGAAAGACCCTTGTTAACTTCCTGATTGGGAAGACCCTTGGTTACTTCCTCATTGGGTCCCTCTTCAGTGTAGAACCCTTGGCAGCTAATTGCTCCACCTCACCCAACTAAGGGGTATATTTGTTACCATTTAGACCCTTAGGTAACTTGGATGCCTGTGATGAACATGTAGCCTTCTCTGGACTAGTGAGCAATTAAGCAATCCTATTCATTTTACTATTCCATTGATATGAAGTGCCTAAGATGGCAAAAGGTTGACTGCAGGTGTGCCTAAATTGGCTTTTGCAAGAGGTTTTGGGCTGGGTGGTTGTCATACTACTTCCTGCCCTTTGCCGATAATGCCTTTCTGAAACCTAAGGCAAGCAGGTTGGTCACCGGGGACACTGGAGCTGGGAAGCAATTGAGATGTAGAGGTCACCTACATATTTCAGGGCCATGATCTTAGAGAAAACTAAGTATTTGGGGTGAAATGATAACTCACCTTTGACATTAACATCTGCTTGTTGCTTGGTCTCGCCTACTGTATCAGGTGTCTGACTCCTATAGTTGATTCCAGGTGCAATTCCTTGTGAAACATCAATGAGAACCATGAGTTGTGGGACTCTTCATTCAGGAATATCAAAAGGATGTGTGCTCCTGACCTTTTGAGTTCTCGGGTTCCTTGTGAGTGAGTCCATCTGGTCCAGAGGGGGATGCAATGGGGCATTCATCCTAGAGAAATTCAGATTGCAAGATAAACTTAGAACCAAAGTGTGTCTTTTTGGATCAGTTTAAATAGGGAGTGATCTCACAACAATGCTTTCTGACCCAGCAGCCTGTTGCGCATCCTTGGGGCTCACATCTCCAACAGCAATTTCTGAATCAGAGCTCCTTGTGGATTGTTCCTGTTGTTCAGAAATTTAATTCCCATTGTCACTGTTGGGGATTCCAGTGAAAACAGTTGACTGACAACATTGGTGGCCAGCATTACTGTGTCAGGTGGTTTGCTGCTGGTGTTTGTGCCTAAGATGGTAGCTTTGGAGATATCAACCAGCAGGGTATGTCAGCTCAATTGTTAATTCAGGAAACTCAGAAGAATGTAAACTCCTGACCTTCCAGGTTTCCTAGGACCTTTGGCAGGTGTCCATGGGATCCAGTTGAGGAAGGTCTAATAGAATCTTCCTGGGGTGCAACCAAACTTAGAACCCAAGTTTGCATTTTTAGTATAGGCCGTGAGCTTACAGCAAGTGATTCTAACCCTGATGGTTGCAGTTTTGAATTCGGGCTGGTGGCGGGCTGGTCCTGAGGGGAAGAATTCAGATGTCAAGTGTACCTCTATGGATAACAGAAGAACCAGTCGACTCACAACTATGGGGGCCAACAAAACTGTATCAGATGAGTTACTGCTGATGTTGGGGTCTTTGAAGTGGCAATCAAGCAGCAGAGGTTAGTTGAAGATTGATTCAGGCATTCATAAGAATTTATACCCCTGACCTTCCTGATTTCCCAGGGCCTTGGGCTGATATTCATCAGATCCACATGGAGAAGGCCTGGTCAATTCACCCTATAGTTGAATGAAAAACATCAGCACCCAAATGAGCCTTCTGAGGATAAACAGTATGCAAACAGCCATGGTTTCCAACTCATGGGGATGGTGAGGATCCTTGGGGACCACCCCAGGGCCAAGGATTTTGTCTTTCCCAGAGGTAACCCTAACCCCATTGGGAGTATCCTCGTCACTATCAATGACCTACTCAATGCAAACTCATGGATGATTAGTTCTGGGCCAGGGTTTTGTAAATTTTTGTATGATGATTACTTAAAATGCCTACCAATGGGTTGCCAGGTTTTCCAGGTGGATCAAAAGCAGGATAACTAGTGAGAGTTGTTTGCTTCAGGTTCTTTTTGATACCCCTTTGTCTCTGAATATGCCATGGGACTCTTTGCCACTCGAGATCTTTGCGGGCTTTTGGGGTTGGAGCAGGGGCTGGTGAAACTGGGCAAGTGCTCTGGTGCAGAATATTAGACCCATGGATGATTGATTTTGCCCAGCAGGGAAGTTACTTACTGAACTAGTTCCAGATATCTTGCGGGGGGTTTTCTTTGACTGGTGTTGGGTAGATGTCACACCAATCTGAGCAGCCTTTACCTTCACTGTGGGGGCAGGAGCACCTTGGGTTTTCTCTAGCATGGCTGTGGGGCCAATTTGAATTGGGGAATAAGTGGAACAGAATTGGATCTGGGGGGGGGGAGGATGAAGAGGAGGAGTAACTCCTTATATGTTGAAGGAGGTGACATGTATTTAGGCTGTATTTCCCAAATAGGTTGAGTGTTTCACACTATTTGGTCTACCTTTCTTGGTTGGGTGGGGTCAAGTGGTGGGTTGCACTATGGCCATTTGGTGAAACTTATGCATGTGTATTTAGCTGAGGGCCAATCTGCCATAAGGGAACAGATCACTTACAAAGGTCTTGTTGGAAAGGAAATAACATCAATTGCACTCTAAAGATCTGAGGGATTTGATTGAAACAAAAGAGGGCCTGAGGGCAGGGGCATCCTAATTGACTAAAAACAAGGCACGGTGTGGGGGATAAATCTAACTGTGTATTGGGATGCAGCTGGGTGCCTTATGGGAGATACAAATCTTTCTGGTTCACAGAAGACAAATCAAGAAGAAGGCATTCTGGTCTTAGGGATATACCATTGGGTCATCCTCATCTTCTTCATCTTCCTCCTCTTCATCTTCATCTCCTTCATCTAATCTATAGTTCTCACCCGGTCCTGACTCATCTTCATCTTCGTCCTCCATCTCTTCATCTTCGTCTTCCATCTCTTCATCACTTGCATCTTCAGCGTATCGATCCGGTTGAACCACTCCAAGCTTTTTCATCCTTTGGAGTTCGAGTCGCTTGTGAAGTTCCTTTGGGATAAATAAGTTCTTGACCCTACTTTGCCACTCTGTGAAGTAGGGTCGGTTGAACTGAGGTGTGGGGGCTGGACCACCTGTCGAAGAAAGTGTATCCCCAGGTTTCGAGATTTCGTCAAAGAGATCCTTGATCACCAGGGGTGCAAGTGCTTCGGCCTTCAGATGTGCGGACCAGAATTGTGCTGCATCACACCAGTCAACTTTTTCACTGCCCATGTCAGTCTCGACCAAGAGATCCAGCAGGTAATCGTTTAATCGTTCCCAAGCTCGGTGAATGGGTTCTTTGGTCTCTTGACGGGTGCTGCCATCGATCTTGGTGAGAGGGGTGTTGATGGTGACTTTGTTGGATGCCATCTCGTCACACAGCCCCATGAGGCTGGTAAGGTCGCGTAAGTTGAATTTCCAATGATTCATGTGGCAGTGAAACCAACCGGCAACCCCAAAGTTAAGAAAGAGAATCAGAGATGAGCAACTCTTGAGTTTTTTGGCATGCAACTGGTCTTTTGCCTTTTTCGAGTCAGGGTTCTTGGAGACGTTTGTGCGCGATTTCGACGTGTTTTTGGGCGGGTTCGGCGTGTTTTTCTTGTTTTTGGGCGATTTCCCCTTCTCTTTCTGCTTGCGCTTGTAGGTCTCAATTGCATCATATAGAATGGAGGCCCCATGGAGCATCTCCCAAGCCCTTTTGACCACAAAATTGAGACCTTCGATGTGTGCCGTGTGCGACTGTTCTTTGGGATCGGCAGCATCAAGTGCAGTCACTCGGTCGGATAGCCATACTCCAACACGTCGTAAGGAGCCAGTTTCGACTTCTTGGGCTGAATCGCGCACGGTGGCCTCTGGTAACTCTCCCTCAGACGGTTTGAGAAGTTTGGCTGAGTCCATGACGAGCTGGTGCACCCGGCGTGAACCTTCTGATACCGTTTTTTTGAAGTCCCACTGGTGATGATGGCCTTTTTCAGTAGATCGGCACATCATCTGATTAAGTGCAGCCCATCCTCCCGCGCGTGTTTCACCTAGAATTTCGTCAACGCCCAGTGTGAGTACATGCATTCGAACATGTTTGGTGTTGAAGAAAGGATGCGGCCATGGCAGCTGAAACAAGCGTGGGCCTATGATGTGCAAAAGGTGTGTTGTTAGAAAGTGGCTGCATAGTAGATTCAGAGTGAGGCCAAGACTTACAGGAGTCGATGATATCCAGAAAACTCCTCTTGTGAATGTCTGGAGCATGTTCTGACCAAAGTTGAGAGGACGTGGCGAGTACGGATGGCAAGTTTGTGTCTTGGGGTGTTGCAAGACTGGCTGTCAGATGTGTTCCTGGTTTCAAGCGACGGTGGAGGCGATTGACGTCGATAATGTCCCCAAACATGGCAAACATGTGCACGGCAGCATCAGTCCCATTGCTCTTGATGTCTTCAAGAATCTCTTTCAAGTCAGATCCGTTCTTCAATGATGTGGGCCGTATCAACCCTAAAGGAATGCCAATGTCAGTTATGTTGAGAGGCGGCTGTTCTACTAGAATTCTACTTACGGGTTAAATTTATTGGGCCCTCCAATATCTCAAAGTTGGACTCAGCCTCCGAATCAGTACCTTCTGGCGGGTTTTCATCTGTCTTTGATGTTTTTTTGCGCTTTCGGGGCTTGGACGAAGACGGCCCAGCGGATGCGCCAGAGTTTCGTTTCCTTGAGTCAATGGCAGCTTTGCGAGGGGTGCGGCTATGAGATGGAAGGTCTTCATATGGCGGTGGAGGCTCTTGATCTGCGTTGTGATCGATATCGTGAGGGGGCTCTGAAGCTGGAGTGGTTGACCGTTCATCTGTGCTTCCAGGTTGCTCTTTAGATGCAGTGGTGTGGTTGGACGTGGTGCGAGAGCTCTCCTGTGGCAATTCAGTCCTTTGAGTTTGTGATGAGGCACTCGAAGCATTTTGGGATTTGTTGGCTGTTGTGGCCTCTGACGAGTTGGCTGGTGTGGCCCCCGAGGGGTTGGGGGGCAGGTCGAGGGTCTCATCAGCACCGGATGTGCCGGGTGCCTTGGAAGCACTTTGAGAATTGGTGGCTGTTGTGGCCTCCGAGGGGTTGAGGGTCTCATCAGCTCTCTGAGTTGCGGAACCCGCACCGGATAAGCCACCGTTGGCTGATTTTGATAATTCGACGTCAGGTCTTGGGGCGGGTAATGGTGCACTGAAAGCCTTTGAAGAATCGGAGACTGTTGTGGCCTCGGACGCGCTGTTGGGGAGATCGGGGGTCTCATCACTGGAAGCGTTTTGAGCATTGGTGACTGTTGTGGCCCCCGAGGGGTTGAGGGGCAGGTCGAGGGTATCGTCAGCTCTCTGAGTAGCCGAATCAGCACCGGATGTGCCAATGTTGGCCGATTTCAATAATTCGACATCAGGTCTTGAGGCTGGTAATGATGCACTGAGATCCTTTGGAGAAGTGGAGACTGTTGTGGTCTCAGAAGAGTTGTCCGGAAGATCGGGGGTCTCATCAGTTTGCTGAGTTGCGAAATCAGCACCAGATGTGCCTGGATTAGCAGATTTTTCTTGACTTTGTTGGTCAGTAGCTGTCGTCGCCTGCTTTGGAGGCACATTGGTGGAAGGAGGGGGCTGAGAAGTACGATCTTGGACGGCCGACACGTTGGAGGACAACTCAAGGGTCTCTTCAACCCTTTCGCAATCAGTTGTGGCCTGCTTTGGAGGCACATTGGTGGAAGGAGGGGGCTGAGAGGTACGATGTTGGACGGCCGACACGTTGGAGGACAACTCAAGGGTCTCTTCAACCCTTTCGCGATCAGTTGTGGCCTGCTTTGGAGGCACATTGGTGGAAGGAGGGGGCTGAGAGGTACGATGTTGGACGGCCGGAGAGTCGGATGGCAACTCAAGAGTCTTGTCGGTTCGGGGAGCTGCTGAATCGTCTGACGGGTCACCACTAGTGGCTGGGCTTGATGTGCTGATACTAGTCGATTTGGACCCAAGTGGGGCGCTTTTTGCTTGTTCAGTGGTTGGAAGGTCATCGAGTGGCAGGGCGGATTTTGGCGACTGGTGATGATTCTTGGTGGTAACCGGATTCTTAGGGCGAACAACTAGATCAGATGAATGACTGGACGCTTGACTATCGGCCGCACTTTCCTGAGGATTCGCCTCATCGTCTGAGCATTCCATATCAGATGGTTCTAGGCTAGCAGCTTTCTCATTCAGGTGAGACTTGGTTTGCGGATGGGTCTCATGTTGAGAGAGATTGGCTTGAGCGCGTGTGTCTTCTGATGGGCGTCTAGATTCAATGAGATGCTGAGTTCCATGATCAAAAGACTTGATCCGCTTGACTGATCTGCCAAGAACTGCTTCTGTGGACACTAGAGTCTGACAGCTTAGAGTTCGCTTGAGTTGAGGCCCTCCAAGTAGGAGAATGGAAGTTGAGTCGACCGGAGTTGAACGTCGAATGGTCACAATTGAGCTATTTGAGGTGCCTTCTTGAATTCTTGTGGGTTCGGTTTGGTCGAGATCCACAAAGCGGTCGACAGGGTCTGTAATTTGTTCTGAGGGGAGGGGAAAAGCTGATATTGGACAGATATCCAACGGCCAGAGTTTGTTGATATTGGTTGTGGTGCCGTTCTTCAGTAACCGCCAGGCTTGGTCGAGGTCCATAGGTGCAACAGAAAATTCAGGTGGTTGTCTTGTGCAGGCTACTTGCAGGTGCGGATCGTGCGGCTGGGCTTGGACGTCTGAGCCATTATTGGGGATTGTCAATTCAGACTGAGCTGGAGAGCTGGAGACGCCCTCTGTCGAGCAGGATGTTTTGCTTGCTGATGAGACATCTACAGGCACAGAGATGTGTGTCTGCTCAGCCAACTCTGCCTCTTCAAGCTTCCTCATTCCTTCTGTAACAAAGGCTTTGAGGGCATCCACGTATGCCTGATGAAATGTGTCGAGATTTGGTGCACGGCCAGAAAACCGGGCATGAACTCGTTTCAAGTGGCAGCACCGTACTTGCACTAAATTGTTCACATGATTGTTTACTTCAGACTGACATTCAAAGGCGGGATTTGGGGGCAAGGTGATGGATCCCAAAGTGGACTTACTAGACTCAACCATATATCGGACTTCCGTGACAGATTGACTCCCCTCAGGTGGTTCTACTGGGTGTTCGTCCGGGGCAGGTGTTGCTGGGTGAGTGCCGATCGGAATGATAGAGCTTTTCGTTTGATGGTTGGAAAGCTGGAGAGTAGTAGGTGGTAAGATATAGATGTCAGATGATGTGAGTTTAGTGTATGAGTTTTGGGACTGCTCACCTGACTTGGTTGCTGATAGGCATGCAGGGGCAGGAATTGAGTCACAGTGGTGTTGGCTGGTGTGCCAGCTGGGGCAGGATTCCTCAAAGGGGTGGATTCGGGAGTGAACATCATTGTGATTGGTGTTCCTGGATAATGGGTTGATTTACTGGTGGATGAGATTGATGTGCCGGTTAGTTCTGTCAAGTAAGTGAGGGTTGAAGTAAAGGGACATACTGATGCTGATGAGAGTCCAATCTTGATAGCAGATGACTGAATAGTCACAGGAGGATGAGAGCCAAATGAGATTGTTAGGGTGGTTTAGAGGTGAAATAGAGGCCGAGAGCACTGATAGGAGAATTTGAGATGATGTAAAGAAGCGGAGGAGATGGTTCTTGTGCAACGGATGGTTGAGAACTTCAGTCCTAATAAGTTGGAGCAAACGCATTGGATAATGAGCGGTCAGATGAGAGGAGGGAGGGTTAAGATGTGAGGACATACCGATGGGGTGAGAAGAGGGAATGTCAGCCGATGGTTGGTCTGATTGACAGGAGGGAAGTTGATAGATGGATGTTCTGCTTGCTGAGGTGGTGATGTGGAAGTGATTAGCAGAGGTTACTATGTAGTCATGTGTGGACTGACGGCAAATGG